AAAAAAAACACAACAACAACAACAACAACAAAGAAGAACAACAACAACAACAACAACAACAACAACAACAACAACAACAACAACAACAACAACAACAATAAATAACAACAACAACAACAATAACAACAACAACAACAACAACAACAACAACAAGTAGTAGATTACAACAATAACAACAGCAACCACAACAACAAAAAAACAGCAGAAACCGCAATAGTCATACAAAAAGAATACGACAAGTTTGTCCGATCGTGGGACTGCTTGCCAGCTGGGCTAGAAACTCATCAGAGCCCCACAACACCCAAGCCTTAGCTCTCAGGAAGCATACTTATTTCACCTGTCCATTCCTCATAATCGAGTACCATCAGCAATACGGGCACCGCAGTATCTATTCGGAGACGGCTCCAATGGAAATAGACCAATGAAAATGCTTTGTGCCTCTAGACCAAGTAAAAGACCTGGGAGGTTAACGAATGTTTTAGTGGTTATATGTATGATCTGCAGCAAATAATATGCAGTTTGACATCCCCCCCCCAAGGCGGTGCATCTGTGTGCGGGAGTGCATCTCCGAATAGTTCTTCGGGGCGCTCGCCGGAGACATCTCCGAATAGTGTCTGCCATACGGGCAGGTTGACGGGGTATATCTTACGCTTCGGTCGACACATTTTAATTCATTGGTGATGGGGACTGATCCAACTTGTCAAGGGCAAACCTGATTGTTTTAAATACATGTATGTCCCAACAGCAAGACAGGTAGACTTAATAATAATTGTTTTCCACATACACGGGAAATTTAATTAAAATGGATTTTTTGCGGAATTGTAAAGAATATAATGATCACTCTACAGACGCGTAATTAGAAACTCATAAAGCAGAAATTGTCGTGCATAAAATCGTGTCCTCTATATGATTGTTTCCAGTGTATCAAGTCCTCTGTAACTGTGTACCAAAGATCAGTGCGCACATTCGGATTTGTGCGTGTCCCTGGAGAAAAGTCCCAGTTTTCAAAAAGTTTGAATGTTGAAAAAAAAATGCAGAACTTGCTGATTTTTTTCAACTACTTTGAGTAGTTTTAAAGATATGCCACATGCTGTAAACCAGGGTGCAAAAAGATAGTTTGAAGAAAAACTCAATTAATAGTACATTTTTTAACCTTTGATGAAGAACATGTTGCAAAAATTACTAATAAAATATTTTTTTTTAATGGTTAAACGTGTGCTGTGGGTTTTTGTTTTGTTTAGTTTCTTTTTCTTTTTGTTTTTTTTGTTTGTTTGTTTGTTTGTTTGTTTGTTTGTTTGTTTGTTTGTTTATTTGTTTGTTTGTTTGTTTGTTTGTTTGTTTGTTGGGGAGGGAGTTTAATGGAGCTAAATTTTTTACCAGGTAAGACTTTTGTGGCTTTTTTCTCCCCTTTGCTCAAAAATAACTTTGCCAACTACTGGGACCTTTTTCCAGGCGCCCACACATTTATTGGGGGTGATAACAAAACTATCCAAGAGATACAGGTGTCCTAGAGCGCACAGCGTCAATATAATATATCATGTATGACCATTTTGCGTCTTGACAGGCGAACAGTTTGCATGATACAGCTTTGCCTGGGCAGTACATGAGCAAACAGATTACCGTGGTGCTGCTGCTTTCTATCATATCTGTCTTGGCTTCCTTGATGTATCACGTCAAAGTAGAGACATAGTCAACCCGTTTAGAATCGAGGAGGATTTGATAGGGATATTTTTTTGAAAGCAGGAAATATTTCAACTTTGAATTTTTCCCGGACGGTGGCCTAAAGGCCAACTTTTCCTCGATTTTTAGGCATCATTACTACAAAGACAAATATAATTTGGATCAAATTGTAATACTACTCTAATGGTTTTCTTTTAACGCTGCGTTAATCTTTATCTCATTCAGTTAGGCACAGAAAACAAAATAGGTAGGATTCGGAATAAACAGGAAGAAATCTGTTTCCAACTCATAGAAACTTGGGGTGTTTTCTCGTGGCAAATCCAGCAGAAATCCAGACTCGTCTCGTAAGTGTTCACCCTGTCTTCATCCCCTTCCCCGATCGATGACCTCAGGGGCAGAAGTCAGATCGTTTACGTCACCAAAGGCATTCACTTGTTTTGGAGGGCTTTGAGATCCAGTCATCCGATCTAAGGAGCTCAAAGACGCTGTAACATGGAAGCTGGAGGTTTGGCGGTGGGTGTGGGGGTGGGGATTTGTGTCACTCTTTGGGGGTCGACGGGACGGATGAGGCAAGAACGTGATCCAAGGGTTGTGGGGAAGGGACAAGAAAGATTACTTGAAAGCGGATGGGGAGTAGGAAACCGGGGATATGGTGGTGGAAAAGAGGGGGAAGGGGGGAGGGAGGGATTGCCTGGCATTCTGTATATACGATGCGTTTAGCTTTCATAGTGCTTCTGTCAGTCTATCTATCTGTCTATCTGTCTCTCTATCCATCCATCGATATCTATCTATTTATCTATCTGCTTATCTATCTATCTATCTATCTATCTATCTATCTATCTATCTATCCATCTATCTATCTATCTATCTATCTATCTATCTATCTATCTATCTATCTATCTATCTATCTATCTATCTAGTCAG